TTTTTGAGACAGGGTCTCACTATGTAGTTGAAACTGACCTGGAACTCACTACTAGCCCAGGTGGGTCTCAAACTCAGTGATCCTCCTGCCTCAGCCTCCCAGAGTGCTGGGATTATAGGCGTGCGCCACCACACCTGACTGGTCTGTGTCTTTTCTGTTCTGAGAGACCCTTAAAGTCTTTCCTGTCTCAGGGAGAGAACAAAGGGTCCTGACTCACATCTCAAATTTATTCTCCTAGGGCCCTAAAAATAAACAGCCCCATTAAGCATTACTGGCTCCCCTGCCCTCACTGGGGCTCTAGGGAGTTCCTTGCTATCCCAGTGTGGTGGGCCTTGGGCCTCTGCTGGGCCACCCTTGTGGCAGCCACACATCATACCACACTGACCTCCAGCTCACCTCTGGTCAGCAGGGCTCCCTGGCAGAACACACCAAGCTCAGACCAGCCTTTGACCTCAGGCGCCCCTCCTACTCCCCAGGCCCCCTCCCCAGACCCAGTGCCCACTCCTTCTGTCCCTGGCTTCCTGCCACTCAGGATGGAGGGTGTAGGGCGGGGCGGGGGGGGGGATGACAGCTGTGTAAGCGATGGCGGCTGCCCCCTTCCTGCCCCTCCCCCCAGCTGTCTCTCTCCCATGACAGCTGCCCAATCAAAGGGCTGGGGGCTTAGCCAGCTCCCCCCACAGGCAGGGATCAAGTGTCCACCCTGGCTTTGTTCTGGAGTAAGAACAATCCAGGGGAGGGGAGGGCTCCTGGGGCCAGGCAACTCAAGTAGACTGGCCCATCCCCAGGGGGATTCCCTCCACTCTGCTGGCTGGAATGTCTGGACCAGTGAGGGCCTAAGGACCCACCTGGGCTAGAGAGAGAGCTTCATCCCCATCAGCACTCCAAGCTCCCAACCTAGCAGTGTCTTTCCATCCTCACTCCTAAAGTAGCCATGCCGGCCACACCTAGTGATGCTGGGGACCGGCTTTGAGCATTGGGTAAGGCAGGGTGTGGCAGAAGGATGGACAGTGGGGGGTGGGTGTCAGCACCGAAGGCTCTTCACTCCTCTGCATATCTTATTCTGGGGATTCTTGCTGATCAGCTAAGCCCCACAAGATCTACCCTAGCATCCTCAGACCCATGGACCAGCCTCAGTTTTCAGCCTCCGAGGATGACCCATCACATCTAGCTTTGAAGGGAGGAGGCTCAGGAGGAGATGGCAGGGGAGCAGCCTGGGATCTACAAATTCCAGCTTCTTGTTTCTTGATTGAGGTAAGTCTCATAGCCAGTGCCCAGCTGAGAAGGGGGGCTACGAGGGGAAGTTCTGACAAGCTCCTAGGTGCCACAGAAATGCTACAGTATTCTCATCATTAGCCTTCATAATCAAGGGAAACCAAGGTAGGCCTAGGCCTAGGCCCAGGCCCAGACAGGAAAACAGGAGAAAGGCCACACCCTCAGTACAGCCCAAGTCATTGGTACCCATCCTTGTGTCTAACCCAAATTGAGAAAAGGCATCTAGCATCCATTCTCCCTGAAGACTGTGCTCATGGTACTGCTTAACAGACATCCATGGCTCCCTAGTGTCCAGGGAATGAAGCTTGATCTCTATGAACTGGGATCAAGGCCCTTCATGGTCCAGCCCCTGCCACCTTCTCTTGTCTCATCTCCACTCAATCCTCCAAACACACCGGGCTCCAGAAACAAGCCAGTCACCTCCAGGTCTCTGAGATGTTGATTCCAGCTTGAAATGCCTTTCCTCCTCACACTCTGTCACAATCTTTCTCAAATGCCACCTCCTCAATGGAGCCCTCCCCAACCTTCTAAGTCAGATGTAATCACTGGCCCTCTGCATCTCCCAAAGATAGGGCCACAACTCAAAGGAACCCCTGATGGGGATTTATAGGCCTGTCTTTCCACTACCCAGAGAGCATCCAGGAGAATATGAGATCTAAGACAGGACTAGGCTCAGGGTGAGGGAGAGGAGTTAGGGCTCCCTGGCCTGGGGGATGTAGGGACCATTAGGTTCCCTAGAGTCTAAGGTAGATACCTGGAACTAAGGGACTAACCACATGGGCAGAGCCAGGACCTACTTACACAAGATTCCCAGCCTCCTTCCTAAGCACCCCAAGCCCTGTTCCTCATGCTTTTCCAGGTCTAGAGGCTCCCTGAGCATGTTGCTGGGGTGAGGAATAGGGGCTAGTGTGAGACTTCTGGGAGGCCAAACAGGTTTCCTTAGGAGGACTGGAGCTAGAGAAAGCCACACAGTGTGGGGCAGGTTTTACAGAGCTAAGCAGGGCTCAGCCTATCACAACTGGGAATGCCTCACCAACTAAGAGTGGAACCTGAGGCCCAGTAAAGGGAGTTGTTGGTAGGGTTTCACCAAAGGCAACTGGCAGACTGGGATAACCCAAGGTGCACCTGTACAGCGCAGCTCCCTCCTCAATCCTCCTTCAAGAGGTCTGCACCACAGGGCAGTGGTGATGGAGGCTGCAGAGAGGGCAGTGAAGGAGCTGGGGAGATGGAGAGCTTGTCTGGGGACATAGGGTGGGGCTTCCAGCCACCACCAGCCTGGACTGCCAGGGTGTGTGGGCTGTCCGCTCCCAGCCCCCCACCCTCAGCATGCAAGGAGAACAATCCCCTTGTGTTTGGGCTGCCTGAGCCTGCATGCTGATGAAGGCTGGGGGTGGGGGCTGGGATGGGGGGGTGCCTTGGAAGTTGAGGGGGTTCCAGAACCTAGAAGGGTTAGATCTTCAGCTGGAGAAACAAAAAGGTCACAGGTGCCATCCATGAGGTGACCCCAAGAAACAGGGCCAAAGCTCAAGATTTGGGGAGTGCCTGGGGTAAAAGGGCCCTTTGTAGGGAAAGGAGAGCTTGGGGACACATGTCCTGTTGGTCCAGCATGAAGGTGACCATCTTGGGCTTGCTGGGGACACAGAGCCCCACATGGTGGGAGAAGGCCAGGTACATCCCCTTGAAGACCACTCCCCTGGGTACTGAGGTGGGGTGGGGCCCTGGGTGCCACAGGTCTCAAGATGGCGGGCCTGGGACAGGACAGTGAGGAGGCGGGCACCTCCCTCTTCTAGCCTGGCAGGCACAAGAGTCCAGCTGGAGTAGCAGAGCCCTCTCTCCCACCTCCCAGGACCCCAGCCAAGAACACAGGTCGGAGCTGAGGCGCTGAAGAAGGGCAAGAAGGACCACTATGCATCTCCAACTATGGTCTCCATACATCATTTGGCCTGGAGGTGTGTATATGGCTCCTCCCGGGACTGCAGAGAATGGGAAGGGGTGTGTGCCAGCCAACCGCTGCAGGAGAATGGCAAAGGAAGCAGAACCCGAACCCAGGGCAGAAGGTGAGAAAAGAGAAGGTTCAAAGGACAGAAACAGCCGATGGGATGGGGGCCTCTAAACTGGTAACTGAGGTCCAGGAAACCCCTCCGGCCCGGGGGCTACTCTGGCAGACCAGCGCCCCCCACCTGGTTAGGCCTCAGCCGCACAGTACAGGGAATGTGTTCCTCACAGCCTCCCAGGACCCTAAACTGTGCACTGGACGCGGACTACCCTGCCCCCAGCCGAACCCCCAAACTTCGCGGCCGGCCGCGCCCTACCTCTCTGGGGCTGTCCTGCGACGGCGGCGC